TGATCAAAGATCTGTCCTAGGGAGGATACCGTAAAACAGAAGGTTCCAGATAGTTTTGTTGGGATATGTTATTAGGTTACATTAGGCTAATTAATCTCTTCTTCCTGGAATTCCACCCAGCCTCCTTTCCCAGCCCTCTTGTCTAGGGCAAAAATTTTCATTCAGTTTGACTGTGTGTGATAATCCCTGCCTCTTGGTATTTTCGTGAAGATTAGATGAGAGGACGGATGAAAAAATGCTTTGTCAAGTGGGAAGTACTATACTAATCCATTCATCTAACACATATTTATTGTTTTTGCTCTTTGCTGGCTTTGATACAAAGGAGCTTAATGAAGTGGAGAGGAAAAACTACTTATCATTTGTGTCTGGAATTAGCAGCAAATTGGAAATGTCTTGGGAAGCATGCATATATGCGTCTTTCAGATAGTCTTAAAGTTGACAGTTGCCTGGAGTTGTTTGTTTTGTTTTGACCACATTTCAGGATATCCACCACTTTTCTGGGTAGAAAACTGAATTTTGTTATTGTACCCAGAGTTACAGAGATCATAAAAGTTAGGTGTGTAAAGCAGTATATCAGTTTATAGAACTTCACTTTGGACAGTGTCAGAATATTTGTCCATTGATTGGACTACTGATGTGTATTATAAGGCATACTTCTTGTATCTGAGAATCTGAATTAGGAGATTTTTGAGCATAGAGAACAGAGTAAAATTAAGGGTACAGTTAAAGTTCTCTTTTCTATGTAACACAATTTCATTTTTCTTTTTTCTTTTTAAATATACCAAAAAGAAAAAACTGCAACGGGTATAAGTCTGTTCATAAAGAAAAAAAGGAGAAAAGTTAATCTTTGTTGTAAATTTCATCTTTGCCATGGGTATACCTTATACATTATCCTTACTCCATGAAAGAGATTATTTCTGGTGACTAGAACTCACATATTTGCCAGAGAAGTGTCTTTTCCTGATAGTGCTGAATCTGTGGTGCCAAATGTTGGTTTTGTAGGTTCCTCGTTTATAGTGAATGCAAGGTCATTTCCCTTTAATTAGCAGTGTTCTTTAGGAGCTGTAGGCTCTAGATTCTAGAAGCATTGGCCACGCTGGGGTCAACAATAGCTTTGTCTTGGGCAAATAGATTCTTGTGCCTTAATTTCATCCTTGTAAAATAGAGATAAAAATACCTACATCATTGGATTCTTGGGAAGTTTACATGAGATAATTCATAAACAGCATTTAGAACAGTGCCTGGGACATTGTAAGAACTCAAATGTTATCTTGTATTTCTTCCTGGGGGAGGTTTCAGCTTGGGCCAGTTTAACATATTTGAAAGGGTAAAGGCTTAAGTGTGATACGCCTTTAAACTTTAATGGGTTTATTTCTGTCTCTAGGATTACTTTTTTTTTTTAATGGATTTTACTACATTTTTGGAGTAAAATCTAAATGGAGTGGAAAATAGTTAATGCAAATATCTGTATTATCCAGTTCTTCTATTATTTGTTTGTTGAGACAGAGTCTCACTGTGTTGCCTAGGCTGTACTGCAGTGGCGTGATCTCAACTAACTGCAACCTCCACTTTCTGAGTTCAAGCGATTCTCCTGCCTCAGCCACCCGAGTAGCTGGGATTACAGGTGTGCACCACTGCTATCAGCTGAGTTGTGTATTTTTAGTAGAGATGGGGTTTTGCCATTTTGGCCAAGCTGGTCTCAAACTCTTGGCCTCAAGTGATCTGCCCACCTTGGCCTCCCAAAGCGCTGGAATTACAGGCGTGAGCCACTGCATCCAGCCTTATTGTTAATAGAGGAAGTAAAATGCTACATGTTCTTTCTCTGATTGTGTCAGTAGTCACAAACTGAAAACCCACGGGAACCAGGCAGTTGATGTAAATGAGTGATACTGGGTGGGTATTGTGGCACTTTGGAGAGTGCATGCTCTCACAGAAGAGAGGTAAATAGAGGGAATTGCTACTAAGCTCTAGCCTGTCATTGACATGAAGTGATTTTAGTCATAGTTTGGTTAATTATCAGGTTTTTCATGAGAAGCCAAAAATCCATCGTTTTCTGCCATAACCTTATTTTATTTTTTTATTTTGTTCATTTGTATTTTTTGAGATAGAGGCTCACTCTGTTGCCCAGGCTGGAGTGCGGTGGCACGGTCTCAGCTCATTGCAAGCTCTACCTCCAGGGTTCAAGCAATTCTCCTGTCTCAGCCTCCTGAGTAGCTGGGACTACAGGTGCCACCACCATGCCCGACTAGTTTTTGTATTTTCAGTAGAGACAGAGTTTCACCATGTTGGCCAGGCTGGTCTCAAACTCCTGGCCTCAGGTGACCCGCCTGCCTCTGCCTCCCAGAGTGTTGGAATTACAGGCATGAGCCACTGCACCTGGCCGAGGGTGTGCTTTAGAGTAACTTGAACTTTTTCTGAATGCAAATGTCTATACCCCAGCCCTAGACATTTTGGTTCAGTATTTCTAGAATGGAGCCTGGCAATTTGTATTTTTGTTTGTTTGCTTGCTTGCTGGAGTGCAGTGGCACCATTTGTAGCTTGCTGCAGGCCTGAACTCCTGGGCTAAAGTGATTTTCTAGCTTCAACCTCACTAGTAGCTGGTGCTGCATACAGGTATGCACCACCATGCCTCGTTTGCATTTTATTTTATTTTTTTAATAGAGACGTGTTGTCCAAGCTGATCTGTTGTCCAAGCTGGTCTGGCTTTAAACAGACCTTCCTGCCTCAACTTCCCAAAGCATTGGGATCTACAGATATGAGCCACTGTAACCGGCCAGAGTTTGTATTTTGAAAAGCTTGCCACCTAATTCTGATGTGGCCCTCTGGAACCACTGGTTTTAGTGAGCTTTGTTTAATCAAAGGAGTTACTCAATTTTTGGATATTGAGATAAATAACTATTTAATTTTTTTTCCTAGGGAATTTTAGAAGAGAGAATATTTCTGTAAAGCATCATTTATTTAAGGAACAGCCTTATCTTTTTCAATGTTGCGCAAAATGTTTGGGTATTAGAGCGACTAGAAGTGTTAGTGGGACACTAGAATTTGGGGTAGACCTCAAAATGTAATATTTAATTCTATTATATGAACACGGCGTGAGTTTCCTAGAAGAAAAGATTACTCTACATACATTGTGTGGCTATAATAGAAAAATCATCATACCTGTCACAAAATCCAGATAAGCATGATTGGCTGTTTTCAGAGTTTTTATACTGAAAGTAGTTTACTTATTAACCTATTGTCTACTGGCAGATAAGAGGTAGCAGGCATCTAAATTTAAGGAAAATTTATGGAGGGGGGAAGCTCTTTTGAGTAAACTATACAGCTATTTTTATTCAGATGGGGGGTAACCAAACTTTTCTTTGTAGTCGTTCTTGGAACAGTTTGGTCCAGTTCATTAAATAACCAGGTGCATAGTTTGGATACAGGAGTGAAATAATTTATATGAGGTGAGGGTTTTTGTTTTTGTTTTTGAGACAGAGTTTCGCTCTTGTCACCCATGCTGGAGTACAGTGGTGCAATCTCAGCTCACTGCAACCTCTGCCTTCCAGGTTCAAGCAGTTCTCCTGCCTCAGCCTCCCAAGTAGCTGGGATTACAGGCATGCACCACCACACCTGGCTAATTTTTGTACTATTAGTAGAGACCGGCTTTCACTGTGTTGACCAGGCTGGTCTCGAACTCCTGAGCTCAGGTGATCCACCTACCTTGGCCTCCCAAAGTGCTGGGATTACAGGTGTGAGCCACTGCGCCTGGCCAAGGTAAGGGTTTTTTTGTTTGTTTTTGAGACAGGGTCTCACCCTATCACCTTTGCTGGAGGGAAGTGGCAGGATCATGGCTCACGGCAACCTCCATCTCCTGGGCTCAAGCAATCCTCCCACCTCAGCCAACCAAGTAATTGGGACTGCAGTCCTCTGTCACCACACCAGTCCAACTTTGATTTTTTGTAGAGACAGGGCTTCACCATGTTGCCCAGGCTAGTCTCGAATTCCTGGACTCAAGCAATCAGCCAGCTTCAGCCCCCCGAACTGCTGGGATTAGAGGTTGAGCCACTGTGCCTGGCCAGAGGTGAGGGATTTTCATCAAAGGTTTTCTGTAATCTTAGAAGTAGAAGATAGATAAGTAGGGGACCATAGAGAATAGTCTTAAAACGTAATCTCAAAGAGAATATCAGGGCACCAGAATCTCTGGGATTTAGAGATGGAAGGCAGGGCATGCATAATTTGAAAAACATTTACTATTATCATGTTTTATATCCCTCGAAGATAGGGGAAAAATAAACTTTGTAATGCAAACTATGGAAAATAAAGTCTTGTCCGGGTGCGGTGGCTCATGCCTGTAATCCCAGCACTTTGAGAGGCCCAGGTTGGTGGACCACTTGAGATGAGGAGTTTAAGACCAGCCTGGCCAACATGGTGAAACCCTGTCTCTACTAAAAATACAAATAATTAGACACATGCCTGTAATCCCAGTTACTCTGAGACTGAGGCTGGAGAATAACTTGAACCCAGGAGGAGGAGGTTGTAGTGAGCCACTGCATACCATTCCATTTCAAAAAAAGAAAAAAGAAAACCTGACAAAAATGTTAGCTTTTTAGGTGGTTGGGGTAACAGACTGTGGTTATAATTTTTGATGGGTATGATTCATAACCTCCTAGGTGGATCATATAAACACCTTGCCTTGTACATCTGAAATACTTACTGATTAAAAAGGGGACTTAAGTTAAAAAAAAAAAAAAAAAATTGAAAACATTATTTTAAATGGATGGTTAATGTTGGGATCTAAAGTTTTACCTCAAATTATGAAGTTTAACCTTACTGTTCGGCTCAAATGTTGTAGATTAAGGATCATTTTACAAGGTTTATTTTATCATACAGTTTGAGGATATTGAATGAGAGTATATATGATAGTTTGAATAGGCCTAAGTTTGTGGAATGATAGATTTTCTAAAACAATTATATTCCATTTTGTGGTCTTTAAGAGAGATAATGTTTTCTTTTTCCCAGCTTTCTGAAACAAAGACTCATTTTGAAGATGTTTAACAAATCATTTGGAACAACCTTTGGGGGTGGCACAGGTGGCTTTGGCACAACTTCAGCATTTGGACAGAGTAAGTTTTTAAAAAGGATAAAAGGGGGAAACCTTAATTACTCTCTTACTAAGAACAAATCCACTCTGATAAGCTTTAGGTGGGAATTTTATTTATACTTTCGTATTTATAGCAAAGTCATCTTGAAAAAATAACTAGGATAAGATCTCTTTAACAGTGTTTAAGGAAGTAGAAATAAATTCTAAGTTTTCATGGCCTTCTTCTGATCATCAGTAGAAGATACTTAAAATATTTGCATTATTTTGTTTAACAGAAAGTTGTAATTTGTTACTGATCTTCAGACCAGAAAATAATTCTTTTAATGTTGAAGTCTAAAATGCAGTTATGAAATAACTGCCCTGGAATTTACCCTGTGAACATGATGTGACATTCAAATGTCACAGAAATGTTAAAATTTGGAAGTATCTAATCCCCATCAACCCTCCTGAGATCTAACTCCCTCCCTACCCAGTATTGTATATGACTCATTGCCTGTAGCAATCCTTATTTACATTTAAACTTTTTTTTGGAGATTTTTTTTTTGTTTTTTTTTTGTTTGTTTTTTTACCAGAAAGCCCCCCCTCAAAAAATTTTTTTTTTCCAGTAAAAACTGGGAACCCTGCTAGACAAATTCTAAAAGAACTGTGACACTTTGTTAAAAATGTTTATACTCATCCAAGGCTGGAAAGAATGGTATAATGAACTCTTGTGTACTTATATCCCAGCTTTAACAATGAGCATTTTCCCAGTCTTGTTTTTATCTCTTTCTTTCCAGGGGGAGGAGAGCATCTTAACAGAATATTTTAAATCCCAGAAACTTTCTCTAATTGATGAAATTTATTTGTTTATTTTTTGAGATAGGATCCTGCACTTTCACTGAGGCTGGAGTACATTGGCAGTATCATGGTTCACTACAGCCTCAACCTCCCAGACCCAAGCAATCCTCATACCTCAGCCTCCTAAGTAGCTGGGACCACAGTTGCACACCACCATGCCTGGCTCATTTTTCTCAGCTCGCTGTAACCTCCACCTCCTGGGTTCAAGCAGTTCTCCTGCTTAAGCCTGCTAAAGCGAGGGGATTACAAGCATAAGCCATGGCTCTGGGCTAAGGATTCTTTAAGAAGCATAACTAACAAGCCTCTATCATACCTAAGAGGAAGTTTTTTTTTTTTTTTTTGAGGTGGAGTCTCACTCGGTCACCCAGGATGGAGTGCAGCGGCGCGATCTCGGCTCACTGCAACTTCTGCCTCCTGGGTTCAAGCAGTTCTCCTGCCTCAGCCTCCCGAGTAGCTGGGACTATAGGCGCCCACCACCAGGCCCGGCTAATTTTTTTTTTTTTTTGTATTTTAAGTAGAGACGGGGTTTCACCGTGTTAACCAGCATGGTCTCGATCTCCTGACCTCGTGATCCGCTCACCTCGGCCTCCCAAAGTACTGGGATTACAGGCGTGAGCCACCGCGCCTGGCAAGGAAGTTTTCTTAAGTGGCTCCTGACCTCGTTTTTAGAGAACTCTAGATCCATGTCTGTGGTTTTTAACTAAAAGTGCCCATCACAGTCACCTTTGGAAGTTTTATTCAAAATACATATCTCATCAAAAATTATAGAATTAGAATTTCTGGAGTTGAAACCTGGACGTGCGTATTTTGAAAAAGCTTCCCAGGTTGTTCTGATGTGTTCCCCTGATGAAAGACCATTTATCTCAGTGACTATGGAGTGTCACTAATTTTTTTGAATTTTTAGTAGAGGCGGGATTTCACCATGTTGGTCAGGCTGGTCTTGAACTCTTGACCTCAAATGATTCGTCCGCCTTGACCTCCCAGAATGCTGGAATTACAGGTGTGAGCCACTGCGCCCGGCCAGCACTTTTCTTTTTATTTTTTTAACCTATGAACATCTGTAACTTTTATTGAAAAGTCACTCCTTTTGACTTCAAATTTTCATACTTACCCTGGGGACAATGAATAAAATGTCTGTGTCTTGGTTTTTACTCTGTAATTCATACTCTGATGGGAGTTTGAAAAAATGTTTTCAATTAGACTAGTAGTTCAAATTCAGAAGTTTAAGAAATATTAAAACGCCTTTTCATTTTGTCATCTTATGCAGATTTTATTCTAAATTCTAATTTAATCTGGATTTTGCTTTTGCAGATACTGGCTTTGGCACTACTAGTGGAGGGGCATTTGGAACATCTGCATTTGGTTCTAGCAACAATACCGGAGGCCTGTTTGGAAATTCACAGACTAAACCAGGTAGGGTCTTCATTTGTGATATAACTGGTTTGTTTGTAGCTGGTATAGGCATTGACTTAGCGGCTCTGATCTATTTAACTTTTTCCCTCCTTCTCCATCTCCTCAGGAGGCTTATTTGGAACCAGTTCATTTAGCCAGCCAGCTACCTCCACAAGCACTGGCTTTGGGTTTGGTACATCAACAGGAACAGCAAATACCTTGTTTGGAACTGCAAGCACAGGGACCAGTCTTTTCTCATCCCAAAACAATGCCTTTGCACAAAATAAACCAACTGGCTTTGGGAGTAAGTAGGATATTGCTAGAGCTCTGCATCCAATAATTTGGTTTGCTTATTGAATGTGTTGTCTTTTCTCCTTTTTTCTATGTTCATCTACCCTCTTTTCCCGCTAATTGGCAAAAATATGGGAAGAGGAAAACTTCAATATGTACTGAAAAGGTTAATAGGCTGAAAAGGAAGACAGCGTGTACATCTCTATAAGGATGGAAATTTGAAGTACTGTTACTTAAGGGATATGCAGAGGAAGAGCTTCCTGATGTAGAATGGCCAGAGAAAGGGTGAAAAGCCAGGTCAGAGTAGTGTAGTTCATGTTAAGATGGGAGAATTTCAAGGAGGAATATGTTATAGTCAGCCATATTGTGCTGCAGAGGCACCTTCTTGTCTCTGTTTTATATTTGGCATGAAGAGACTAGAGCAGGAATGACATATTGGACATGACATGGTTACTCCTCCATTCTTTGTCCATGCAGATGTTTTTATTTGATGGCTTTTTTCACTTTAAGTCCAAACATGTCTTGGGGATACTTCTCCACACAGCGCTATACTTTGAGGCAACCACTGCTAGTTCATCAGGTATGCCTTATCAAATGATGCCATTCCTGGCACAAGAGTATAGAAGAATGAATAGTTAGCCAGCCGTCAGTATTTTCCAGAGGGAAAGTTGCTTGTATAACATTGAAATATTTAACCATAACAATATATAATACAGTCTAAAGTAGTAATTCAAAAGAAATGTGCCTATTTGCTTTAAACTATATATTATGACATGTTTTAGAAAGAAGTAGTAACAGTTTGCCAGTGAGAAATCGTAGTACTCTTTAACGTGGTAATTAGGATGTTACTAATTCTAAATATTGGCAATACATTTCTATTGCTTAGTAAATTGGCACCATATATATAATCTCTTTTTTTTTGAGATGGAGTCTCGATCTGTTACCCAGACTGGAGTGCAGTGGCATGATCTCTGCTCACCACTGCAACCTCTGCCTCCCCGGTTCAAGTGAGTCTCCTGCCTCAGCTTCCTGAGTAGTTGGGACTTACAGGCACCCGCTGTCATGCCTAGCTAATTTTTATATTTTTAGTAGAGATGGAGTTTCACCATATTGACCAGGGTGGTCTCAAACTCCTGACCCTCGTGTTCCATCCGCCTTGGCCTCCCGAAGTGCTGGGATTACAGGCGTGAGCCACCGCACCTGGCATAACTTCTTTAGAAGTAGTGTCTCTGATACTTTCAGCAATATATTCCTTAGCAACAATTAAATTCATTTATGTGTAATTTTTTTTTTAAGTCAGCTTTTTGGAAACGTAAAGTAATCCAAGGATTTGCTATTTCTTTATTAGTTTCTGTAAAGTAATTGACAGTGACTGCTAATTTTTCTGAAATTTTAGGGAGTGAAATTTTCCATTAACCTATATTTGATTTCTCTAATAGGACCACTTGCATATTCTAAAGTTTTCGGTTATGTGTAGGTATATGTCATAATGTATGTAAATAAAATGTACTGTGACCACTCTTGAAGTCTGTGACAAGATGTTTTCAGAAAGACAAGTTCGTTCAGCATCTAGTTAAACGAGAAAAGGAGAAATGAGATAAAATTTATGATGAAACAAGGTATTTCTTTTAAGTTGTCTTCCAAGTGTGACCTTAGGTGTTTATGGACACTTACCTGACCAAAGGATTCAGACTTTGTTTCACTTGAAAGTTGTGAGCTTGGAAGTATGTATTTTTCTGTATGAAATTTCTGTTTGGGCCAGGCGTGGTGGCTCATGCCTGTAATCCCAGCACTTTGGGAGGCAAAGGTGGGTGGATCACGAGGTCAGGAAATCAAGACCATCCTGGCTAACAACAGTGAAACCTTGTCTCTACTGAAAAAAAAAAAATACAAAAAATTAGCCGGGCGTGGTGGCGGGCTAACCAGTAGTAGTCCCAGCTACTCAGGTGGCTGAAGCAGGAGAATGGCGTCAACCTGGGAGGCGGAGGTTGCAGTGAGCTGAGATCGCGCCACTGCACTCCAGCCTGGGCTACACAGCGAGACTCGGTCTCGAAAAAAAAAAAAATTCTATTTGAATATATTTGCTTGGGAGACTTGAAAGGTAAAAAATTTCAGGATGTGAGACCAGGCGCAGTGACTCACACCTGTAATCCCAGCACTTTAGGAGGCCGAAGTGGGAGGATTGTTTGAGCCCAGCAATTTGAGACTAGCCTGAGTAGCATGGCAAGAGGCACTCTCTACAAAAATTTAAAAAAAAAAATTAACTGAGTGTGGCGGCGCATGCCTGTGGTCCTGGCTACTTGGGAGACTGAGGCAGGAGTATTGCTTGAGCCTGTGAGGTCAAGGCTGCAGTGAGCTGTGATTGTACCACTGCACTCCATTCTAGGAGACAGAGCAAGACCCTGTCTTAAAAAAAAAAAATTGAGAATGTGAAAAAGTACTGTGGCGCTAGTGCCATAGCCCAATTCCAAGGCATCTTATAGATTCTTAAATTTCTTACTGTTATCATCTCATTTTTCTTATTTTTAGATTTTGGAACCAGTACTAGCAGTGGAGGACTCTTTGGAACCACAAATACCACCTCTAATCCTTTTGGCAGCACATCTGGCTCCCTCTTTGGGCCAAGTAGTTTTACAGCTGCTCCTACTGGGACTACTATTAAATTTAACGTATGTATTTTCTTCCAATCTTTGTGGAATGTTTTTTCCCGCATGTATATTTCTTTGCAGGATGAATAGTAAAATTGCTTCTCATCCAGCTTAGCTTGACACTTCCTGAACAATGTGTTAAAAACAAGTTGTATAGTAGACAGGGAAACTTGTGAAATGCAAATCTAGATTATGATGTATATTTGAATTAGGCTCATCCCAATCAAATGTGTATTCATAAAATTTTATAATAAGCTGGTATAAGGTAGAATTTGAATTTACTGTGTTAAAAATTTGCTTCCGAATGGTCAGCTGTTGGTTTGGTTTGGTTTAGTTTGGTTTGTTTTGTTTTAAGACGGAGTTTCACTCTTGTTGCCCAGGCTGGAGGGCGGTGGTGTGATCTCAGCTCACTGCAGCCTCCACCTCTTGGGTTCAAGTGATTCTCCTGCCTCTGCCTCCCGAGTAGCTGGGATTACAGGAGTCCACCTCCACACCTAGCTAATTTTTTTGTAGTTTTAGTAGAGATGGTGTTTCACCGTGGTGGCCAGGCTGGTCTTGAACTCCTGACCTCGGGTGATCTGCCCACCTCTGCCTCCCAAAGTGTTGGGATTACAGGCGTGAGCCACCATGCCCGACCTGGTCAACTATTCTTTATGGAAATAAAGAATAGGGGGCAAATAAGAGTAACTCATCAACATTCTGTACCAGATTAAAAATACAGGTTTTGTTGATGAAATGGCTAAATGGGGCCGTAAAGTTTTTGTGTGTGTGCGTGTGTTTTTTTTTTGAGAGGGGTTGAGTGGAGGGCTAGAGTGGAGGATTTTGTTTACAGAAACATATGGAATACCACTTGATATAAATATTTGGGGGATTCTTAGGGTACGCTGGAAGTGCAGTTAGCCTAATGGAAATCTTTGGCAGAAATAAAACTTGTTAAAATATACTCCAGAAAATGAAGAATTTCTCAGGTAAATTGGTTAATTCATAGTACTAAATTTACAACCCCGAATTTAAAGTTAAAATATAAACGATAGTGAAAAATACTATGTGATGCCTTTTGTAAAGCACAATAGTTGAGAAAACTGGCAGTACAAGCAGGAATCATTAGTTTTACTTATTGTGCCTTTTTCCTTTTAAGGTTATTGGGGAAAAACAGGTTTCCATATTTCTTTTTTTTTTTTTTTCTGAAGACAGACTGGAGTGCAGCGGTGCAATCTTGGCTCACTGCAACCTCCGCCTCTTCGGTTCAAGTGATTCTTCTGCCTCAGCCTCCCAAGTAGCTGGGATTACAGGCACCCACCCAAGCTAATTTTTGTATTTTTAGTAGAGATAGGGTTTCACCATGTTGGCCAGGCTGGTCTTGAACTCCTGACCTCAAGCGATCCACCCACCTCGGCCTCCCAAAGTGCTGAGACTACAGGCGTGAGCCACTGTGCCTGGTCGGTTTCCATATTTTTGTTGTTGTTGTTGTTGTTGTTGTTGCTGTTTTTTGAGATGGAGTCTCACTCTGTTGCCCAGGCCAGAGTGCAGTGGTGCAATCTTGACCCACTGCAACCTCCACTTCCCGAATTCAAGCGATTCTCCTGCCTCAGCCTCCTGAGTAGCTGGGACTACAGGTGCGTGCCACCATGCCTGGCTAATTTATTGTTGTTTTTTTTTATTTTTTAGTAGAGACAGGGTTTCACCATATTGGCCAGGCTGGTCGCAAACTCCTGACCCTGTGATCCACCCGCCTCGGCCTCCCTGAGTGCTAGGATTACAGGCGTGAGCCACCGTGCCCGGCCCTCTGTATTTTTTTAATGCAACATTACAGGGCAGAACAGAAAGGAGAACTTAGATATAGAGGTTTAAATGTATATATTGGGTAAAACTTTCCTTGTGCATAGTATTACATGTATTTTAGCATGTAATTGGATGGCTTTGGTTATGGGATTAATCCTTGGGTTTGTGATTACTTTGTTACTAAGATTGATTTATTCAGATAATCTTGATGTGGGGAGAGATCAGAAATGCAGTATAGTTAATCAAACACCCTTGAAACCATCTCAGTATAAAAGACCTGGGAGGACTAGTTTTAGAGTTCAGTGGTTGAGAAATTGTGTCTGAGAGAGTAGCAATATAAAACTCGGACCTACAAATTTGCCTTTATTTCTTTGCAGCCTCCAACTGGTACAGATACTATGGTCAAAGCTGGAGTTAGCACTAACATAAGTACCAAGCACCAGTGTATTACTGCTATGAAAGAATATGAAAGCAAGTCACTAGAGGTCAGTAAAATACAATACAGAATGTCAGTCTAACCTTTTTGATTCTATTGGAATGTAGCTTTTAAAAATGGTTTTGATTATCTTTAGGATAGAGGGGTTCAGTTTGGGTTTATGTAAAAAATTAACCGAATTATTTTTAAAAATCAAGTATTATTTCTAGATATCTACCTGTTTAGGCAGGGATAATATTCAGGGATATGTGAAGGTATAGCACCCCAATGGTCTTTTTTTTTTTTTTTTTTGAGCTTTTTTGCCCAGGCTGGAATGCAGTGACACAATCACAGCTCATTGCAGTCTCAGCTTCCCAGGCTTCATGTCCTTAGCCTCTCAAATAGCTGGGACTGCTGGCATGTGCCCCATGCCCAGCTAATGTTTAAAAATTTTTTTGTAGAGATGAGGTCTTACTATGTTGCTCAGGCCGGTCTCAAACTCCTGAGCTCAAGTGATCTTTCTTCCTCGGCCTCCCAGTGTGCTGGGATAACAGGCATGAGCCCCTGAGCCCAGTCTAATCGTCTGTTCTGATTGGATGTTGCTTCTGTTACGCTGGGCAATGTGTATGCATGCATATGAAGGTGTTTTTAATAAAATTATGCAAAGTCATACAGCTTAATAAAAGTTTTTCTTTTTTTTTTTTTGAGCCAGTGTCTCCGTCACCCAGGCTGGAGTGCAGTGGCGCATCTTGGCTCACTATGACCTCTGCGTCCCAGGTTCAAGCAATTGTTGCACCTCAGCCTCCCTGGTAGCTTGGATTACAGGTGTGGGCCACCACACCCAGCTAAATTTTTTTTTTTTTTGAGATGGAGTCTTGCTCTGTCGCCTAGGCTGGAGTGCAGTGGCGTGATCTCAGCTCACTATAAACGCTGCCTCCTGGATTTAAGCAGTCTCCTGCCTCAGTCTCCGGAGTAGCTGGGATTGCAGCTGCACGCCACTATGCCCAGCTAATTTTTGATTTTTTGTAGAGACAGGATTTTGCTGTGTTGGCCAGGCTGTTCTTGAACCCTGGCTTTGTGATCCGTCCGCCTTGGCCTCCCAAAGTGCTGGGGTTACAGGCATGAGCTGCAGCGCCCAGCCACATTATGTACTTTTTAATGGCTGTCTTTCAACATTGAGATACTCTTCCATGTTGTTGAATGAAGTTAGTTTGTTCATTCTTATTGCCTATGTAGTAGGTTGTTGTACATTGTGATAGTCGTTCCCAATTGTAGTGATTGCTTCTTTCTGCATACCAAACTATGCTTGCTTTATTGAGCTGTGCCAGGAACATACTGACTTGAGACAAAATTGGTAAACTTTATTCTTTTTCTAAATTTTTTGCCCCACAGAATCTGCATCTTTTAATTCACTATAATTTTTATTTTATTTTTGTATTTTAGGGCTAGGGAGAGTTAGGATTATTTTATGACATTTTACCGAAAGAGTGTATTGTTTGTAAAAGAAAACTGAGATTAAGATATGATTGACTCTTTGGCTTGTAGTTTTACAATAATTGTGGTATGAATTTTAGTGTTTGTTGGAAATGTTTTTCTTTAATGATATAATGTCATTCCTTAGTTTTCTCTCTTTTAGTCATGGTTCCTATGTGAAAGTAGAACTTGAATACTAAATTCAAGTATTTAGCCTCCTAAATAATTATTTTTAGCTACATGTTAAGATTAGAAATATGTTTTCCCTCCCTTCAGGAACTTCGTTTAGAGGATTATCAGGCTAACAGGAAAGGCCCACAGAACCAGGTGGGAGCAGGTACCACAACTGGCTTGTTTGGGTCTTCTCCAGCCACTTCCAGTGCAACAGGACTCTTCAGTTCCTCCACCACTAATTCAGGCTTTGCATATGGTCAGAACAAAACTGCCTTTGGAACTAGTAAGCACTTGATATCATATTAGGTTATATTGAGGAGAGACAGATAACTAAAACTAAAACGTAATTGCCATTTTGGATTAAGTGCTATGGAGAAAAATAATAATTCAGGGATACCATAGGAATAGGAAGGAATGCCTGGATATATGTGGGGAAAAGGAGAAAGACAGTTTAAGATGAAGATGACTAAGGAATGCTTCACATGAGAAGGTGATGTTTGAGCAGTGACGTATCTGAAGAAGATGAAAGAGCAAGTTGTACAGATTGCTGGGAGAAGAGCATTCCAGCTAGTGGAAACTGAGTCTAAAAACTCTTGAGTTTTGGCCATTTGAAGAGAGGGCAAGGGAAAATACTGGGGGATATGGGGGCCATATTTTATACAACTTTGTAGACTAATATCAAGACTTGAATTTTTACTTGATTTAGGAAATCCTGAGAGTTGTTTAGACAGAGAAGTCATGTGATTGTGAGTGAAGGATGATTCTGAAGTCTCCTATATTGAGAGTAGGTGGTAAGAAAGAGGAGAAACAAATTACTTAGAAAGCTATTACCAGCATGAGAGGTGTTAGTGGCTTGGGCAAGGATGGAAAAGAGGCCAAGTGTGGTGGCTTATGCCTGCAATCCTAGCACTTTGGAAGGCCAAGGCAGGTGGGTTGCTTGAGGTCAGGAGTTCAAGACTAGCCTGGCCAACATGGTAAAACCCTGCCTCTACTAAAAATATGAAAATTAGTTGGACATGGTGGCAAGTGCCTGTAATCCCAGCTACTTGGGAGGCTGAGGCAGGGGAATCGCTTGAACCTGGGGGGCAGAGGTTGCAGTGATCTGAGATCACACCATTGCACTCTAGCCTGGGTGACAGAGCAAGACTCCGTCTCAAAATAATAAGGATGGAAAAGAAAAAAGATGAGGTTCTGGACCCAGTTTGATTATAGAACTGATGGGATTTGCTGATGGATTGGTTTAATGTGGGATGTGAAAGAGGAGTTAAAGATGATGACTAATTTACTTTACAAAAATACTACTTTTGCAAAAGTACTGCACATATATGATACAAAGTTCACAAAATATAGAAAACTAACCAGAGGTTATATACTTTGCTTCTACACTTTGTCCATCCACCAGTTTGCCTCTGTATAGAAAAGCAAAAATTAGAGCTTTTCATAGCCTTCTGAAGAGATGTACATACACAGACACAAAAATACATATTTAAGTAATATTTAACCTACTTTTTCTTTTCTCTTTTTGAGACAGGGTCTTAGGTTCTTACTCCTATTGCCCATGCTGGAGTGCAGTGGTGTGATCACAGCTCACTGCAGCCCCGACTTCCTGGGCTTAGGTGATTCTCCTACCTCAGCCACTCTATAGGCATGCGCCACCACCACACCCAGCTAATTTTATTTTATTTATTTATTTATTTTTTGAGTTGGAGTCTCACTGTTTCTCAAGCTGCAGTGCAGTGCAACCTCCAACTCCCAGGTTCAAGTGATTCTCCTGCCTCAGCCTCCTGAGGAGCTGGGGTTACAGGCGCCCACCACCATGCCTGGCTAATTTTTTATATTTTTAATAGAGTTGGGGTTTCACTACGTTGGCTAGGCTGGTCTCAAACCCCTGACATCAGGCAATTAACCAGCCTCGGCCTCCCAGAGCGCTGGGATTATAGGTGTGAGCCATGGTGCCAAGCCCTAATTGTTTTTTTTTTTTCAGACAGAGTTTCGCTCTGTCGCCCAGGCTGGAGTGCAGTGGTGTGATCTCAGCTCACTGCATCCTCCACCTCCCAGGTTCAAGCAATTCTCTGCCTCAGCCTCTGAAGTAGCTGGGATTACAGACGCCCACCACCATGCCTGGCTGATTTTTTTGTATTTTTAGTACAGATGGGGTTTTATCATCTTGGCCAGGCTGATCGGAACTCCTGACCTCAGGTGATCGCCCATCTCAGCCTCCCAGCTTGCTGGAATTACAGGCGTGAGCCACCGTGCCTGCTAGCATTGGCTAATTTTTGTATTTTTAGTAGAGACGGGGTTTTGCCATGTTGGCCAGGCTGATCTCGAACTCCTGGCCTCAAGCAATCTGTCTGCTTCAACCTCCCAAAGTACTGAGATTACCAGTGTGAACCACCAAGTCCATCCTAATGTACTTTTCAATCTTGATATTCCATTATTTAGTTTAGTATGCGTTTTGTTTATTTGTTTGTTTGTTTTTGAGACACAGTCCCACCTTGTTGACCGGGCTAGAGTGCAGTGGAGCAGTCATAGCTCACTGCAGCCTTGAACTCTTGGGCCCAAGTAATATTCCCACCATTCTGCCTGGCTAATGTTTCTTAATTTTTTCTGTTTTTTGGTGGGAGTTGGAGGACACTGTCTAGCTCTGTCACCCAGGCTGTCGTGCAGTGGCTCCATCACAGCTCCCCACAGCCTCAAACTCCCAGGCTCAAGCCATACTCCCACCTCAGTCTCCCTAGTAGCTAAAACCACAGGCACAAGTCATTATGCCTGACTAATTTTTACAATTTTTTTGTAGAGATGGGGTCCCATTGTGTTGCCTATGCTGTTCAGGAACTCCTGTCCTCAAGTGATCCTCCTGCCTTGGCCTCCCAAAGTGTTGTTATTACAGATGTGAGCCACTGTGCCTGGCCCATATTCATTATTGAATATTACGTATCAGACTCTGGGCTGGATATATTCATGTAAAGAAGAGGCCTTTGTTCTCAGTAACTTAGACTAGCAAGTTTAAAATACACATGCTGACTTCTAGTGTATTATCTTGTAAAATAGAAGGAAGCTGTGGACTTACAAGGGAAGATCATTTAGCCTAGTTAGACTTCTTGGGGTCAGGGTGTTATTACAGAAGTTAAAGTTTAAATCTAGAGTTAGGTGAAGGATGGAAAATGAAAAGGTTATCAAGTAGTGAATGAAGGGTAGTAGATAACATAAGGACTTGAAATAACTGGATAATGGAAGGTTTTGTATTTTTGGGTGTTTACATTTTTTTTCTTTTCTTTTTCCTAAAAGGTACAACTGGATTTGGAACAAATCCAGGTGGTCTCTTTGGCCAACAGAATCAGCAGACTACCAGCCTCTTCAGCAAACCATTTGGCCAGGCCACAACCACCCAGAACACTGGCTTTTCCTTTGGTAATACCAGCACTCTAGGACAGCCAAGCACCAACACCATGGTAAGGAAACAGACCGTTATTTACCTCCAGGTCTTACTTGTAGAGTTAAATAATCATGTCTAACTAGCAAATTCTACCTCTACTGCAGATCTTAAGAGTTGAGAGTATTTAATGAAGGGAAGAGAACAAAGTCTTAGAATAATTAAGACCTAGATTCTAGCCTGAGCTCTACTCTTTACTTGTTGAGATGCTATTGAGGTGGTCGCTTATCCTTTCTGAAAGTATTTTTCTGATCACTAAGTAGGAACTACTTAGTGGGCTGGACTTGGCCCTCTTGAAGCTATGCCTTGGAAGATTGACTATAGCCATTTTATAGGGGATAGGAGAAAATACTTATTACTGACTATATTTTGGAATATAGCCAACAACAGGAACTAAGGGAGCTTTCATCTAGTTCCCTTAGGGGGAATCGTACAAAGAAATTTTTTGTTTTTTTTTGTTTTTTTTAAAGGGAGACCTACAACTTAGAGCCATACTGTGTCCAAAGAGAAGGTCCTCATGGTCATTACTAGTTTATTTCTAGGGACCTTTTTTAGGGAAGTATGAAATTAAAGAATGAAGTGATATGTGAGTAATTGATCAGAACTTGGAATTTACCTTGTCTTAAAATTAGAGATACTTTTACTGATTAAAAAACAAGTATGGGCTGGGCACAGTAGCTTATGCCTGTAATCCCATCACTGCCGAGGTGGGCAGATCACTTGAATCAGGAGTTCGAGACCAGCCTGGCCAACATGGTAAAACCCCGTTTCTGCTAAAAGTACAAAACTTAGCCAGGCACAGTGGTTGGTGCCTGTAATCCTGACTACTTGGGAGGCTGAGGCACAAGAATAGCTTGAACCCAGGGGGAGGCAGAGGTTGCAGTGAGCTAGGATCGCTCCGTGGCACTCCAACCTGGGCAACAAAGCGAGACTTAATCTCAAGAAAAAAAAAGTATGCTTGTACCCCCAGGTCTTCAAAATACTAGATGACTGATTTCAGTACATATGAAAAAGATCAGCCGGGCATGCTGGCTCATGCCTGTCATCCTGGCACTTTGGGAGGCTGAGGTGGGGTGGATCATGAGGTCAGGAGTTTGAGACCAGCCTGGCCAACATGGTGAAACCCTATCTCTACCAAAAATACAAAAATTAGCTGGGCATGGTGGCAGGTGTCTGTAATCGAAGCTACGCAAGAGGCTGAGGCAGGAGAATTGCTTAAACCCAGGAGGCAGAAGTTGCAGTTGAGCCGAGATTGTGCCACTGCACTCTAGCCTGGGCGACAGAGCGGGACTCCATCTCAAAACAAACACACAAACAAACAAAAAAGGATCATAATCCATGACTGAATGGGATTTATCCAAGGAAGATTGGTTCAACATATCATCATTAATCATTGTAATACCCTGTGGTAATATAATTTAAAAAACAACCACATGATCACCTCAGTAGATATAGATAAAACATTTGACACTTTTACATGATAAAAACACTGAAGGAAGAACAAGAAGGAACCCAGAATAGCCAAAACAATTTTGAAAAACAACAAGTTGGAGGACCCTCAGGCTTCTCTCTCTTTTTTTTTTTTTTTGAGACGGATTTTTCGCTCTTGTTGCCCAGGCTGGAGTGCAATGGCACGATCTCAGCTCACTGCAGCCTCTGCCTCCCGGGTTCAAGAGATTCTCCTTTCTCAGCCTCCCACATAGCTGGGATTGCAGGCGTGCGCCACCATACCCAGCTAATTTTGTATTTTTAGTAGAGCTGGGGCTTCACCATGTTGGTCAGGCTGGTCTCGAACTCGTTACCTCAAGTGATTCACCCGCCTCGGCCTCCCAAAGTGCTGGGATAACAGGCATGAGCCACCGTGCCCGGCCTTCATGTTTCTCAATTTTATTTATTTTTCTAAGACAGGCCTCGCTGCAGTTACCCAGGCTGGAGTGCAGTGGCGTGAACTCAGCTCACTTCATCCTCCGCCTCCTGGGCTAAGCGATCCTCCCACCTCACCTCCCAAGTAGCTGGGACTACAGGCAGGCACCACCATGTCCAGCTAATTTTTGTAGTTTTTGTAGAGATGGGTTTTCATTGAGTTATCCAGGCTGGTCTTGAGCTTCTGGGCTCAAACAATCTGCTCTCCTTGCACTCCCAAAGTGCTGAGATTACCTTTTAGCCAGGCCTTTTAGCACATGATTGTCGTCCCAGCTACTCAGGAGGCTGAGGTCGGGGAATCACTGAAGTCAGGTGTGAGCAGCTGTACCTGGCTTTACTTCTCAATTTTAAAACTTACTATAAAGCAATAGTAATTGTGTTACTGGCATAAGGAGAGACATAGACCAATTGAATAGAAGTGAGAGTCCAGAAATAAACCCTCACATTTGTAGACAATTGATTTTCAACAAGGATACCAAAACAATTCAGTGAAGAAGAATGGTCTTTTCAACATGTGGTGCTGAGACAACTGATTATTCACATGCAAAATAATGAGGTTGGATTCTTTCTTCACAGCACTGAGTTAACTGCAAAAGTTAAAATTGATCAGTTTTTTGTTTTTTGTTTTTTGTTTGAGACAGTCTTGCTCTGTTGCCCAGACTGGAGTGCAGTAGCACGATCTTGGCTCACTGCAACCTCTGCCTCCTGGGTTCAAGCGGTTCTCTTGCCTTGGTCTCCCAAGTAACTGGAATTACATGTGCGCACCACCGTGCCTGGCTAATTTTTTTGTATTAAGTGGAGACAGGGTTTCACCTGTTGGCCAGGCTGGTCTCGAACACCTGACCTCAAGTGATCCGACTGCCTTGGCCTCCCAAAGTGCTGGGATTACAGGTGTGAGCCACTATGCCTGGCCAAAAATTGATCAAATTTCTTTTTTTTTTTTTTTTTTTGGGAGTCGCGATGCTCCTGATCTTGACTATTG